CTGCCTGTCTCTGAAAATAAGTACAATTCGGGATGGAACTCCAAAACATGAAGCACAAAAAATTAACAAACACTTAAATTTGTCTGTATGTAATTAAAAAAAAAACCAAAATGCCCTTTAATTTTTTTTACATCCGTGCTATTCCCTCTTAAGGTTTTCAATCACGAGGACTCTCCCTGTGTAATATATACAAGCTGCTAAAGAAGCAGTTATTAGTCGCGCTCTTTTAAATGTTAATGACTGAACCACAGACTCTAGAATAATTTATTTCCCCCCTGACATGTAAACACACTTTAAAACAGAGAGTGTGGAAGAAGGTGGGGGGGTTCTTTTGTAAGCTTTACGGTGTCGGATGGTTTCTCTGGACTCCTGAGTTGTTGGAGGTGAGTCAGCTTTGATAGTGTCTCTTTTTTTAGCGTAGCTATGTTATACCAGTACCTGAAAATACATCAGTAAACAGTTGACATGTATTGTAGTCGCTTTACATGATGGCATCTACAGTGGTAAACACCTCATTTATGAATTTACCCAAAGTTGGATGTTTTTGAGATGTGGAGCCTACCCCTACTGTTGTATGTGAGTGTTGGTGTTTGCAAAGCGGGTGTTAACTTGATTCCTGTTCAAATCAAAACAGGATATTCAGTCTTTTTTTTTTAATTGTATTTGGTTACACAGATGACATGAACCAGTGATTGGGTTTTTTTTTTTGTCAGGGTGAGGAACTAAGTGGTTTTTCAGGATTGCAATCAGACGTGCTTTTTATGGTTTTATAATCTTAAAAGGACTGGTTTAAAAATTTTGAAATTTAAGGTGGAGAGAAGATTTTAAAGCTGTGGAAAAGTATGACCAAATAAACCCAAAGTAAATAAAATTTATTTAGCAATTGTACAACAACTTTAATACCCCAAACTCATGCAATTTTTTTATGTCAGGTTTTTTTTACTTTTCTCTTCCCTGCCATAAGTTATATTTTTGTTTAGCCTTATGTTACTTGTACCTCACACTGAAAAAGCAGAGTGTGTGCTGTGAACTCTGATTCACTTTGTTAAATATAAACTCCTTTTGCAGACTGTGATTGTCAAGAGCAGTGAAGAGAGAACAGCTCAACAGATTTTGTGTCTCATCTAATTTGTTTGACTAAACCCACAGAAAAATAAGTTCGTTTTTGGTTTGGTTTTTTTTTCCTGTTGGAAAAGAGGCTACAAATATTACCTTTTCCTTAGCTGTTTAAGATTTCCAGGCCCTGTTTGGATCAGTTTTAATTTCCAGTCCTTGCCACAACCTTTCTGCAGTTGGACCCTTTGACAGCAAGGGTGCACGTGAGCTTTTAAATGGATCTAAAAACCAAAGCCATCCTTCAGATGCATTTGTCAGGCATTATTACTGGCATGCAGCCTGGCTCTCACGTAGGAAGTTGTCCTGTTCCTGCTCTCCCTGACCAAAATAGTAGGTGGTTTATGCTGTTGATACTAAACTGTGTGTACTGGGAGAGTGAGGATGTAAACACGGAGTTCAGAGGAGATGTGAGCCGCCAACGGAGCCATCCCTGCTTCTGGGCTGTCTCTGGAGGGCAACGTCTTCGCTCCACATAGAACCATAGAATGGTTTGGATTGGAAGGGCCCTTAAAGATCATCCAGTCCCACCCCCCCTGCCAGCAGCAGGGACACCTTCCACTAGACCAGGTTGCTCAAAGCCTCATCCAGCCCGTCCTTCAACCCTTCCAGGGAGGAGCATCCACAACTTCCTTGGGCAACCTGTTCCAGTGTCTGACCACCCTCACAGTGAAGAACTTCTTCCTAATATCTAATCTAAACCTCTCCTCTTTCAGCTTAAACCCATTTCCCCTTGTTTTGTCATTAACTGCCCTTATGAAAAGTCCCTCCCCAGCTTTCTTGTAGGCCCCCTTCAGGTATTGGAAGCTGCTATAAGGTCTCCCTGGAGCCTTCTCTTCTCCAGGCTGAACAGCCCCAACTCTCTCAGCCTGTCCTCACAGCAGAGCTGCTCCAGCCCTCACATCATCCTGGTGGCCTCCTCTGGACTTGTTCTAACTGGTCCAGGTCTTTCTTGTGTTGGGGGCTCCAGAACTGGACGCATCCACTGGACATCCACCGACGCGTGCAGTTTTATCACAGACTGAGGCAGTGCCCGTGCAGGGGAACGGACTGGTCAGCTCTGAATAAATCTGCATGAAGTTGGCGTTTGTCCCTTGGTCTGTAGGGCTTTTGGTGGTGACTTGCTCCCAACAATACTGTGATGTGGTCAGACCTCCTGTTAATGCTAAAGAGTCACTTTTGAAGCCAGGGCAGTCACTTCATTTTCTTTATTGCATGACTAGGCGGGGTGGGTAGGAGCTGTCACTGAAGGGGATTGATAGGGCAAATTGCTCATCAGGTGATTACTTTACATAGTTCAGGGTCTGGGGTGATCTTCCAAATCAGAGAATATACCAAAAAATACACACAGATTATCAGTAATCCAAAAGACAAACCTCCAAGCTGGCACACATCAAGATTTTCTCGTGTATTACACCAACACACTACAACAGCCCAACGGATTAAGTGTGTGGGGAGTGAAGCATTAACTGTAAGAATAATTTAAAGCACCACATACAGTAAGCAGAAACATAAGTATAGGGAAGGATGAGCAGGAGGAGGGTATCTCCATCCTCTTCTTTGGTCTTGATATATATATTCTGTATGGTCCAGGTTTAGGTGGCTTTCAGGGAGTAATGTGCTTTTCCTTAGTCCAAGGATTAAGGAACTAAAAAGAGTTTTAACATGCTACCACGATTACTTTAGAGATAAACACATTTGTTGAACTGGTAAGACTGAGCAGGGCACAGGTTTTTCCCCCCTGTTCCCTTTTGGAAGCAATCAGCTTGCCAGTCAAAATAGGCTTATACCAAATTTAGCTCCATTGCGTGCACGGCTCGGGGAACGCGGGGAGAGCTCCCCTGACAGCCCCGAGTCCCCACAAATGTGCTCTGTGTGTGTGTCACTGCCTGGGTTTCAGCTCCTCTTTATGGCTGCAGTTTGTTCTCCTCTTGGTTGTAGCAGCAGTTGCTCTTTGAGTTCACAGTGTACTGTAAATCCCAGCTGTACCTGGTGCTTTAAATTATTCTTACAGTTAATGCTTCTCTTCCCTGCACGCTTAATCTGTCGGGCTGTTGTGGTGTGTTGGTGAAAATCTTGGTGTGTGTCAGCTTGGAGGTTTGTTTTTTGGGTTATTGATAATCTGTGTGTAATTTTTTGTGTATTCTCTGATTTGGAATAAGAAACATTTACAAAATCTGGATATTGTTGTTAAATTATTCTTGCAGGTGGAAGTATTTAATTTATCTAAGGCTTGTCATTCTGTTTGTGTAATTCTTAGATTGCAAGAAGATCCTCCTGTGGGTGTCAGTGGTGCACCATCTGAGAATAATATAATGCAATGGAATGCAGTAATATTTGGGTAAGAGTTTTTGATCACTATAAAATTCTGTATTTCAGAGGGCTAAATATAACAAAACCTAGGTTTTGCTTTTACAATTATTATTCTCTTATTTTATGTACATAAAGTCAGGAAGCTTTGAAAAATGACCAAGAGTGCTGTTGTGATAAAAATCTGTTTTCAGAGTAATACAGAATGAATAGGAAAGAAAAATTTAAAATTTGTTCATCTTTTTTGTTGAATAAAGCTTGGCAGTGGCTTAATAAATGGGTTAGACTGTGTAGAAGTTGGGTTATGAAAAAGCAGCTGCCTCTTTAAAGTAAGAGCTGCGTGTCCTCAGCTGTTAACTCCAGATGTATCAGCAGTGATTGGATCCACTCCCAGCAGAAGGAGGTCCAGGTTCTGTCTAGGAAATTACCTTACATATCCTAGAGAACAGGAACTGGCTCAGTATCCTTTCATAAAAGTGAAGTGTGCTTGTTAGTAACTTGCTCGTTAATTCCAGTCTAGTCACGTAATGGTGAGTGTGTTGTTTGGGATGATGACAAGGTCGATCTCTTGACTAGCAGATTGACTGTGGGAAAGTGTCTTGGATAGGACAAAGCTCTCAGAGGTTGCCTCTGGATACTTCTCTAAATATTTAACTTATTGCCTCTATATCTTGGGGAGGGTGAGGAAGAAGTTATAAATGTGCCTGTTTAGAAGTAGGTAATGATCACTTTTAACTGGAGTTTATTGTTTTTAAATCTTCCAGGCCAGAAGGGACACCTTTTGAAGATGGTAAGCCACTAACTTTTATATCCTCTGTCATTCTTATAAACATTGCCAATATTAACATTGTTCTGCTTTGAAAAAATGTAGGTGTTATCTGTATATAACTTGGAACAAACTAAGCAAGCAAGCAAAGGAGTAAAGTCTTGTTGGCTATTAAAAAAAAATATGTATTTTGATGTAAGCAGTGTCTTGTTGTAGTGGTTGATGGTTAGTTAGAGAGTTATGAAGCAAGGCTTATATCAGACTTGTTTCTACAGATACACTGGAGCTTTTAGTGGGGGAAGTTGGTCTGATGCTGCCAGATGTGTTTTCACATCTCCATAGAGCTAAGCTCAACAAGCCAATGTGCTTTTCTGGTTTCATCTTTGGGGCATGTTTGATTCATCTCTGTTCTCCTAATGAAGAACAGGTGAAAAATATCTTCAATTGTTCTGAATATAGAACTCGGTGAGGGGGAGGGAATACTGAGTTTGTACATAAACATGAAAGTTGGTGTGTAATGAACCTCCCTTAGGCATATGAGGAATAATGAGTTTAATAATTATAGTATTATTGCAGTAATTGGCAGCAGATGGGTTTTTCTCTGTGTTGGGTTGGAGGAGTTACAGTAAATTATTCACTGATCCATAATAGAAGTTTTCAGTGAATCAGTCATAAGCTCCAAAGACTTGAGATGGCTGATTATGAAATTCCTATGTTTCTTTGCTGGCACCACAGTGCTGCCTTAATGAAACATCTTAAAGTCACTGCAGTCCATGGAACTGGCATGTTGGGTCACGGAAAAAAGGGAGGGCAGTGGGATAATTATTGCTGGATCTAATTGCCTTTGCAACATGTATACAGTGAGTCTCCAAGCTTCCACCTAGCTGGTGCTGTTGGGTTTAGTAGTAGAGTAAGTAGTAGTTCCCTAGTTCCATTATCACTTGAAATATATGAAAAAAAAAACCAAACCAGACTGTGTTGTTTGTTTATATAATGGTGAGAAGAAATATTGATCATGGAAACACATAAATTAACGTGTGTTGTATATGTTCCTGGAGGTGTTATTTTGTTGTTAGTTATCTGATTGTATTTATGTTTGTTTGGACAGGTACTTTTAAACTAGTAATAGAATTTTCAGAAGAATATCCAAATAAGCCTCCGACTGTTAGGTTTTTATCAAAAATGTTCCATCCAAATGGTGAGTAAATCATTTTTATTTAGCCATAATACCCATTAAATATTACGGTGTGGTCATGTATTCTGCAAAGCTCCAGAATGCTTAACAGCTTTCCATCCCTCTTCGTTGCCATCTCCTAAGTAGATGTCTAGGACAGCAACTGCTTGATGAAAAATTAAGAGCTATGAAGCTATTAGGAAGCAACTATCTGTCTCTTTCGGATCAATACATAACCTCAGTAGCAAACCCTGTGAGGATTTGCAGCAGCAGCTGCACTTAGGTTGGTTTAAAGAGGCAATTCTGGTTGAGGATTCCTGCCTCCTTCCATTTAGCAGCAATCCTGTGTGTGCAGCCACATGGTGAACGGGAGTGGGGAACCGACCGAGCCAAATGTTGTTTATTTCTGTCAGGAGAGATTTCAGCCAAGTTCGTGCCTGTGTTTGGGTCACTGTACCAACCAGTACTAGCACAAGGGAGAAGGTGAGAAGCTGAGGAAGGCAGAGGAAGAGGCTGACCCAAACTTGGTGAGCAGGGCAGCCTTAGGAGGAAGTGCCGTGGTTCCTGCTCTAGCACTTGGGAGGTTTTACCCAGTTATTCTTGCGTGCAGAAAACACAAACCATGCCTTTTGCTTTTCTGGGCCCCTCTGTAGCAAAGGAACGTAGATTCAATTTGAGGGTTGAAGCACAAGCCCATTCCAGCATTTCCTGTAGCTTGAGCCCTCCCTGAACAGAGGTGACCTTGGCTTCAGTTCTGGGAGTTTTTAGACCACCCATCTGTCACGCAGTCCACAGCCCGATACGCCTCTGACAGGGTTCTTGTAACGTGCTGGCTTTTACTGGCATGAAGAAGCTAGAAGGATGAGTGTAGGAGTTTGAGAGGCAAATCTCAGTTTCATCCAGGCTCCGTTAAGACTACTGAGAGGTACCCAGGCAGAAGTAGGATTTCAGGCACGCTTTCCAACATTTTCTGTTGTCTGCCTTGGTGTGGCTCATAGTGAGCGTAGAGTGTGTGGAAAACAGGGCAAGAACTCGCACTGCTCAGTGTGTGATGGCTGCGAGATCCTTGGCTGGTGCAACACATTCCACTCCTGAAATAAAATGTCTCTGCGCCCTGGGAGGCCTCTTCTCTGTGTGTACCTGGGCCAGTCACACAAGAGGAGCAAGAAACAAGAGTCTCCCATTTCCTGTGCCAGTGCCATAATGTTTAAACCTTCCTTTTTTCCTCTGAAGTGTTCTGTTACTTCCAGTAATACATCTCCTTCAAAAATACAAGGTGTCAAACTCCAGGTTGTAAAACACAACTCCTATCCTCTTTCCTAAAGCATTAATTTAACCCCAGACTGAATTGGAACAGTAACTCTGCCTTGCACAGTATGTAATGAACAGACTATAAAACAAATCTTCATCATTTCTAAATTACATCTGTGTTGTATTTACAGTTTACGCGGATGGTAGCATATGTTTAGATATTCTTCAGAATCGCTGGAGTCCAACATATGATGTTTCATCTATTTTAACTTCAATTCAGGTAACTTTACCTCTATTTTAGCAAATAATTATGTTGTCATTAGTCTCTGTTCCAGAACCCACAGCTCAGTGATGTGGTAGCAGGTATCTGTAGCAAAGGGGACTTCACATACTTGTTAGCTAAGCAGTAGATTTTTAGATCAAATAAAGACTAAGGTGCTGACCTATGTCACTATTAATTTTGATCTACAAAATTGCCATTAGATTTCTTATTTTTACAGAAAACAGTTGCTGATTAGGATTCCTCTTTAACTGTTTTTAGTCAGGATAGGACATCAGATGTAGAAATTGGCCTAGGGTTTGAAACACTAACCTTTATCATGAAGCTGTGCCCTATGAAGTCCTCAAGGAGATGATACTGCTGAAACCTGCTTTTCTTGGAATAAGTAAAAATGGCCTAGTACAGCAAAAAATGTACATTTTCTTTTCTCCTGTGGGACTGTGTTTTTTTTCTACAGTAAAGTTTTATAGGAGGACCTTTAGCCCCTCTTTAGTCCTGAATGACAGTAGTAATTACTAAATAATCAATTAGCATCATGCTGCTAACTGGCACAAACGCTGTATCTGTTAGATTTGTGTATCTAGAAGTGTACACGGTGCTAATGCTTATGAAATGTGTAATTTGAGGTTCAGTAGTGTAATTACAGGTGCCTAACGATGAGTTTAACTGTTTGGTTTTTGTCAGTTGGGCTCTTACGAGTCACACCTGCCTCCTGAAACACACATGATTTGAAAGCTGTTAAGTTGATTTTTTTTTTTCACCCTGATTTAAAATGTGTTGGTTTGTCTCATGTTTTGTTTCCCCCCCCCCCCTTTTTTTTTTTTACAGTCTCTGCTTGATGAACCTAATCCAAACAGTCCAGCAAACAGTCAGGCGGCACAACTCTATCAGGAGAACAAACGTGAATATGAGAAAAGAGTTTCAGCTATTGTCGAACAAAGTTGGAATGATTCGTAACAGCTGCTTTGTTACTCTCCATCCTCATAATCATTATGTACAATTTAACTCTCAATAGAAAGGCTACCAGAAATTTCAAGTGCCACAGTTCTAAGAATTTGCAGAAAAACAAACAAACAAACAAACTCATTTGCAACCAAAATTAAGCCCTCCAGTTTAGGAAACTTAAAAGCTTGTGTATCTCGATTAACGTACTTTTTATTGCATGGTATGAACTAAGTTATTGCTACATAAATTTGTAATATATCCTGTTTGTATTTTTTTTTTTTTCCAAGTGTATAATGTTGGTGTGGAGTTTTCATGACAGAATATACACATTTTGTAAATCTGTACTTTTTCAAATATTGAATGCCTTATTTTTGAATTCTTTAGATTTTTAAATTGGAGAAAAGCACTTAACAAAGTTTTTATATATAAAAATATTTCATGTAAAACTGTTAAATACATAACCTTAGTGCAAGACATTCTGCTCTCACTCTGTATCTCTTTCAAAAGGGCTCATTTTTAGTCCATTTTTCCATTTGGTACATGCCAATTATACCGTGCACTTTACAAACAGAAAAGTTAATCCATCCACTGGATGTCTCTGCTTCTGCACCAGAGCTGAACTTGATTCTGTGTGTCCTCAGTTGTATGAGGAAGAGAAGTATTAGGAGCTGCCAAGTTACAAATGGGGAAACAGATGTAGTAACTCTTTTACTAAAAAGTCCCACTTCAAACCAGCTGCAGAGTTGCAAACAGGACGTGGATGAGCAGGTTTGATGATAATGTGTTCTAATAACTTTTATTTTTCAGGGAGATTGTATTTTTCCGAGTTGTAAAATGTTGTCATCTAAATCTGTCCTATATTCACGTACTGATACTGTAATAGAGGTTTGAATATCTTCTAATAACTACAGAGGTGTCCTGCTAGTTTCCCTTGGGGGTAGGGAAAAAAATTAATCATGAACAGAAGAAAATCATGCCTGTGGATTTAATTGCATTATTCTTTGGAACTTGGCTGTGTACCACATGGTCAGGTCTCGTGTCTGTATCAGAGGTTCCACAATGAACAGAAGAAAATCGTGCCTGTGGATTTAATCATTATTCTTTGGAACTTGGCTGTGTACCACATGGTCAGGTCTCGTGTCTGTATCAGAGGTTCCACATATTCTTAAACTGCCAGTTCTAAAGAAGTTTGGGGTTGTTTTTGTAAATGTCAATGTGGTATTTCCTTACTGTATTCTGTAAGCCAGGATGGATGACTACAGTAAAGAATTAGGCCTTTTTTTTTTTTCTCCTCCCAGCAGCAAAATTGTAATCCCTTTGTCATAATTCCAGCCAGCATTACATGTGTATTAAAACCCCCAAATCCCACACCAAAATACAGCTGAAAAGCAGTGTAAGTTTCTTTCAGCTAGAAGAGAAAATGTTGCTTATTTGCAATAGTCATTACTTAAGTTATTTACTTATTAACGCAGTGAAACAGGAGCAGGTGTGAGGGGTAAATTGATATTCCTGAAGTTGTTTTGTAATTTGTAGGAGCAGCAGTGTTCACGTTAGCAATCGGAAAGCAATCAGAATAGCAGTCAGATCGTTCTGTGTTAGTAGCTTGTGGGGCAAAAACTATTCTGCCTTAGATAAGAATTTAGACACCTGTAATTAGTGTGCAAAGGCTCAGAAACATCAGCGCTAAGTAATAGTGAACTCCCATCTTGGTAAGTCAGTTTGCTTTCCTCGAGTGAATGAATTTATGTTTAAAAATTCTTCAATCTACATCTAATTATTGACAGAAACCCCCAAAGGATCTAATTTGCTTTTTGACTATGGTGAAATTACGGTAACACTAGCAAAGTGGTGTTACGTAGCTTAAAGCAGCGCCAATGCAAAGATTTTTGTTCACAAATACGATACAAAAAAGAATTAGTCTAAACTTTGAAGATTTTTTTTTTAAATTCTGCCTCCTGTTTCAGTATTGTTGTTGTTGTTGTTGTTCCTTTGACGTGTGCGTGAGATGAGATTTGCAGTTCATTAGAGTCCACATTAATTTGATTATTCCTGAACAGCCAGTTTAAGCCGAGTTACAGATTGATGAAGCTCAGGAAATGTTTTTTGTGTATCTGGGATGGATGTCTGAGAAAATTGGAGCAGAAGGAGGTTTAATTAGTGACCAGCACTTCAAGCTTAGAAGGCACGGGCAGGAACTCGTAATACAAAGGTACACGTGTGTGTTTGAAGGTGTGAGTGTTCTGTGTTAGGCTGGGGTTGGAGCTTACAGTGAGGATTTAATGTCTGGGTGGAAAGCATCCCACAGACAGGTAGTTATTGTATTGCTGGTGTATGGTGGGGAGGGACGTTCCCTTGTTTGATGGGATTTGGTGTGTTAATGCTGTGTGATCAGTCTGGAATCGATAAGAACAGCCTGATGGTGAGAATCCAGGTTTTTGATGATGATTTCTATGTGGGTAGATACTGATCAAGAGAAACCAGCATTTCTTGAGGCGGGAGTCCTGGAGCACACGGGAGATTGACCAGCGTCCCACCTTAAAGGGGGGGAAAAAGACTCGGTGACCTCTGCAATTAAACATTAAAAACAACCGCAGAGCACGGATTAAAATCCGCTAAAATTGAGAGAGAAATAATTTGACTGTATTCCCCCCCCCGGC